GGATCAAACCCAGATCAGCTACATGCAAGGCAAGATCCTGAATGTCTGTACAATCTCTCTCATCTCCCTGGACCGCTGACATAATTTAAAAATACAGACCACTTGCTGTTTGGAGTGGGGCCCCCAGGCTATCTTGAGATGGGATGTGGCAACACCATACAGTCAGGCTTTCTGGGAGGAAGTGAGGCACCATGGACCCGAGCTGCTCTAGAGTCCTAGAGACCTGCTTGAGAGTTCTGGGCTTATTATTCCTGTGGGATGTCTGGATGGGTCACATCTGTATGCTGAGCCTTGGTGTCCTCATGAAAGACAAAACTCACTATAGCACAAACATTGATACCCCATGGGGGGCGGGGGGGGTTAATGCCAGCCAGGACCTCCCACTGTGCTCAACACTTAAGCAGATTTGAGCCCCCATGAGACTTCCGGTTCTCTTCTCAAACATCTTCCCACACGATGCTGTTCCTGTGGAGTCAGTGTCAGGTAAAATCAAGTGGGATGGTCACCAGCCTGCCAAGGGCACTTTTCAGGGTGTACTTGGAATAGTTAAGAATCAATTTGTAGGGGCTGGAGTGATAGCTTAGCGGGTAGGGCGTTTGCCTTGCACGCGGCCGACCCGGGTTCGATTCCCAGCATCCCATATGGTCCCCTGAGCACCGCCAGGGGTAATTCCTGAGTGCAGAGCCAGGAGTAACCCCTGTGCGTTGCCGGGTGTGACCCAAAAAGAAAAAAAAAAAGAATCAATTTGTAGAGGCCAGAGAGATGGCATGAAGGTGTTCCTGACCCCCACTGAAAGTGATGTCCGAGCACAGAGCCAGAGCAGCCCCTAAGCACCACTGTGCTGGGCAAAAACAAAAGAAGAGAGCCCGGAGTGATAATACATTTGCCATAAGTGGTAAGGCATTTGCCTTGCACGTGACTGGCCTGGATTCTATCCCCAACATTTTATATGGTCCCCCAAGCATAATCCAGGAGTGATTACTGAGTACAGAATCAGGAGTAAACCCTGAGCATTGCCGGGTGTGAACCAAGAAGAAAAAAAAAAAAAACCAAAACCCAACAACAAAAAAAGAAAAAAAGAAATTGACATGTAACACTGTCAGGGACACCGGGGTGCACAAGAGGAAGAAGTTTTGCAATGTAAGAAACCTGTGCGTGGGTCTGGATGAAGCACCAGCATGCTTAAGAACCTAAGCTGCTTGGGTTCTTCTTTTAGCAGGGGGCCTGGCTGGGGTGTCATTCCTGATGATTATCAGCAAGTCCAGCCAAGTAGCTCAGTGCTCAAACCAAAGGGTGCAGGGCTGCTTAGCCTTGTAGTTTCAGGGATGACAAAACTGCCTGTGCCATGTCCTGTCTCCAGAGCCCAAACACTATTTTTCCCCCAAGTACAATTTTTTAATAAAGATAATTACAAAATATGGGAAAAATCAGCTCAGAAAGGCCAATTACTTCTTTAATAGATCAGGTTTTTGACAAAGGAACTCACATCAATTTTAAATACTGTCGCATAAAGCGTGGTAGAGAAAGGAAATTTTTGCTTCATAATTAGGAAACTCACAACAAAATTTGCCAAGAAATGCAAAACAAAAAAGCCATTTCGAAAATAAATACAGTCCTTGCCAAAATCATATAAAATGAAGCCAGAAGTCCTTGAAAGAGAAAACACTTTTCTTCACAATAGTTCCACACTTTTTATGGCTTCTGAAACTGGTAGGATTTAAATTCAACATTTTTTTTAAAGTGTTGAACATTTTATTAACCTTCAGTTTAAAAAAGCTTCACACTGGGACACACTAACACACAGACACTACTTCTTCAGGAGGTGACCCATTAAGTTTCTTAGGAGTTGGGGAGTTTGGGTGTTTATTTGGTTAAGCGCTTTAAGAACTCCTATTCTGAGCCCAGTGGAGTGCTTGGTTCTTCTCTCCCCCACACAGGTGTCTCCTCAGAGTCCTAGAGGCAGACAATGCGACCTGAGGGTCCTGTGGAGCTGCACCTCCTCGATTCTATCAATGCCACCAAGCTCCTCCATAAGAAGATATAGGTTCTGCTTCTGAGAAAAAACATGTAGCAGACGACGTTGAGGATGGTACTGAGCAGAGGCCTCCAGGGCTACACCCAGCAGAGCTGGAGGCACCTTGCAGTGTCAGCAAACAAATCGGGAAGGTTGGCACCTACCTTGCAAATGCCCCATCCCCCTGCTATCTCCCTGACACAGATATTTTTTTCTAAGTGACCTGCTTTCATTTCGGAGCTCTGTGAGGTTGGCAGGTGCCTGCTTCCTCCTCACCACCCAAATGAGCCTCAGCCGCCCAGCCCTGCCCTGCCTTTCTGTCCCGATGCCACTCCGTCTGCCTTCGCTGCAGCTTGTCCTGTGTGTGAACCTGGAGGCACTGAGACACAGATGATGGGACTGGCCACAGGCTCCACCAGGTCCCCTCATGGGGCAGGTAGTCTCTGTGGAGAAGGTTAGTTCCTGCCATTCAGCAGAGAGGGTTCATAGGCATGGCTGCCCCTTCATGCCCATTCATAGGCATGGCTGGGGCAGCGGGCACAGGCATCTGATGTGCCTGGTCTGTGTTTGTTTCCTTTCAGCAGCCCTGCATGGAAACGGTCTTGTCACTTGGGGAGAATCAGCTGCCCCAGACCCTTCCCATTCCACACGGTCCTGCCCAACCAGGAAGCAAAGCTGGGAGAATCGTCCATTTCCCCCAGCAGAGGACAGACACTCATTCCCACTGACATGGGGAGTGTCACCCCGCTCTCAGAGGAGCTCCCGTGTGCCCGAGGAGACAGTGAGACACCGTGGGGGTGGGGGCCATGGGGGGACATGAGCTCCTGGCAACTGCCCTGTCTGGTCAGTTCCAGGTCCACAGAGGTAGAGGGACTGTCAGGGACACCAGGGTGAGGACCAGTCACAGTCAAAAGGTGTTGGGGTGAAGGAGACACATCAGCCCCAGACACAAACATCCACACCGCGGGCCTGGCTGTGGGAGAGATGAGCGAAGCAGGAAGGAGCATGTACAGGTGAGGTCACAGCTCACAGTGACAAAGAAATGGCCACATAAAGAAACGGAGAAACTCGTTATGTGAGCCTAATCGAATCACTGTGACTCTCCTCCGCCTTCCCTGTTGAGTGAAATGAGCATGTACAGCCCCAGAATGGTACACTTTAATAAACACGGGTCAAGAGCATCTAAGTTTTATTGGATTGGGTGGGGGAACCATAGCCCTGGGGACCAGCCAAGGCCATTTCTTCCTCTCGTCACACCATCCTCATTTGTGAGACCTGTACAAATCATCAATACTAGTGTTCTTGAGCTGGGGTTGTGCCCTATTTTCCTATGTTCCTTCCTCCACCCTCACCCCCACGTAACTCTTAGTTATCAGGCAATTTCTCTCCAATTTTCTGTTTCCTATATGTGGAGTTCCACTCTTCCCCACACACCCACACTTCTAGGAGCTTCATTTTCGTGAAACACTAACAGTGATCCGTGCCATATATATTTTTTTGAGCTTTGAGATTACACCTGGCAGTGCTCAGGGTTTCTCCTTACTCAGTGCTTGGGGAACAGTGCAGTCATGGGAATAGAACCTGGGGCTCTCCCACACAAAGTGAGTATATTCATCCCTTTGAGCATCTCCCTGACTGTTCCCCTCTAGACACACATCTACCTGCAGCAGCACAGTCCCACTTGCTCTGGCTAGATCCTAAAATCAGTCAGTCACGCAGCTCAGACCAGTGCTTGAGAGAGTAGACTCGCTACCTAGCCACCAAGCAGGGCGTCCACCTGCGGTCTTGCAGGGGTCCTTACCAGACAGGAAGAGGTGGGTGGGAGAGACATACAGCACCGCCACTGCAGAGGTGACAACAAAGCTTCCTGCCTGGGTTTCAGCGGCTATTGCTGGACTCTGAGCTGTAGGACTGTCTACCTGAAAGGTGTCCTTTGATCTGGCTTCGCAAGTGAGATTACTGCCTCACTCGCATCCTTTGTAGCAGAGGCAACATCACACATCAGAAATGTTTTTTAAACTTACTGAGAAATAGATTCATAGCTCTTTTTTAAAATCATTAGGCAAGGGCTGGAGAAATAATACAATGGGTAAGGTGTTTGCCTTGCACTCAGCTGACCCTGGTTACATAACCAGCATGACCTATGGTCCCCACAAGTGGTCCCTGAGCACCACAAAATGTGGCTGACATCCCCCCAATCTTTAAGTAATATGAAAGTCTCGGCACTGGTAGAGGGATGGGTATTTGATCATTGTATAATCGAAACCCAAGCACAAAAATTTGTAAGTCTACAACTGTACCTCATGGTGTTTCACTAATAAAAATTAAAAAAAAAAAAGAAAGTCTCTCATTCTGGGGTGAAGGGTAAGGAGGACTCCCAAGCAGAAGGCTGAGGGGACCCCTCAACTGGGCCATGAGTTCAGTGCAAAGGCTCAAGAATGCAATGCTGCAGTGTTGGGGATTGGGGATTTTGGGGTCACTGGGTAGTGCTGGAAGTCTCCAGACAATAAAGACAGTGCTCAGGGGACCACAGGGTGCTGGGAATGGAGCCCAGGTTGGGCACATGCCAGGCATCTCCCAGCCCCTATTGAACTTTTATATGTAAAACTCAGCACAGTCCACAAATAGAAACTTATGTGCAATCGAGCAGCTTGTGGTCATTTCGCAATATGGCTACCTAGGAAAATCTAGCAGGCAAGTGATTTCCAAAAAATCACCACTCGGGCATAAGCAATACCGGACACAGAAGGGAAGGAGCTCGAGATGTCCCCCAAACAAGAAGCCTGTGTTGGCATTTGGAAAGTGGAGAAACCAATCATATACAAAGGCTTTACGTTTTTGTTATTACATAAAATGGGTCTTGAAATACAGACTTCTTTGGAAAACTCGCTTCCCTGTCCAGAATGACAGAGACCATGAAAGTGTAGTTAGGTTTGTTTTTAATCAAAGTTGAACTATCCATCACAGCTAACCCAGAGGGCCTTCCGGTCCACAGGACCAGGAGCAGTTCGTAGAGCATCACTCAGTGAGAACATCCCAGGACCACGTCCCATCAACTGCTGTATCCAGAAAGAAATGTGTCTGGAGATGGCCCCATTAAACAGCGTCCACCCTGACTGGACACCCCCCTCTCTCCCGGGCCTATTAGTATTTGGGGTAAATAAATGAGTCTCTGGGGGTTCAGAAGATCTTGCACTCGTTGATAGAGAAGAACCTCCTTCTGTTGCGCTTCCTAGCTTGGTTGACAGCTGTTCGGACGGCACACTCGAACACCTGCTGGACCCCACGGTTGCTCAGGGCCGAGCACTCCAGGTAGCCCTTAGCCCTCACGTCCTGGGCCAGTTTCTTCCCTTCCACAGCGTTGATGCAGGAGGCCCGGTGGGGACCCATTTCCCGCTGGTCTGTCTGGGTGGCCACCACCAACACGGGGGTGCAGGGCAAGTTGCTCCTGATCTCACCGATCCACTTGTTTTTCAGGTTGAGGAAGGAGCTTTGGTTGGCCACTGAGTAGCACATGAGCACCACGTCGGCCTGCTGGTAGGAGAGGGGCCGGATACTGCGGAAGGCATCGTTGCCTGCCGTGTCCCACAGGCCCAGGCTGATCTGGACGCCGTCCATGAACACGTCCACGCCCGTGTTCTCATACACGGTGGGCCTGTAGGCCTCGGGGAAGGTCTCTGAGGTGAAGCGTACCAGCAGAGAAGTCTTCCCCACGGCCGAGTCTCCCACCAGCACACACTTGATGGAGCTCAGCATCTTCCCGTCACGGGGTCCAAATCCGGGCTGGCACGGGTTGGAGAGGGGCTCTCAGGAGGTGGCTCCAGCAGCAGCCATTCACCGTCGGGCAGTGGCCCACCAGGTGCTTCTGTGCTCAGGCCCCCGTACGGGCCTCTGTGAATGCTTCCTTCTTCCTTCCCATCCAAAGGAGTGGACAGTCCTCTTCACACACCTCCCACTAGAACAAAGAGAAAAAAGCAAGGATTTAAGTTTTTCCTCCTTGAAAACCTTGTTCAAGATGATGGGGCCCACCTTAGGGGCAGACCTCTCTATGACTGTCAAACCCACTCGTCCCTCTACCTGTCAGTTACCAACTCCAGAACCCCCCCCCACCACCACCACCACACACACACACAAACATACACGTGCATGCACACACGATTCTGCTCAGAGAAGAGGTTTAGTTCTGGAATCAGCCTCATGATAAAAGCATCAGGAATCGCTCTGAGGTGAACAGGAGAAAGGCCTCCATGACAAGCCAGCGGCATATGAAGGAGGCGCAGCTCCCCTGGGGTCAGCCTCCAGTTGCCTCAGTTGCAGGGTGAGCCCAGCCACTTTAGGAATTGCAAGAAAGGGCAAGGTTGTTTGTATCAGGAGCTTCTGTGGGGATTTGCTCAAGATTGGAGATGAGAAATTAGGAGGGTTTTTTGTTTGTTTGTTTGTTTGTTTGTTTGTTTTTAAACTGACCATGCCTGGAGAGATAACACAGCGGGTAGGGCGTTTGCCTTGCACACAGCCAACCCGGGTTCGAGAAAAAAACAATAAAAAGGAAAAAGAGTTCCTTTTTCTATTTCCTAACTTCTTTCTTCCTTTCTTTCTTTCTTTCTTTCTTTCTTTCTTTCTTTCTTTCTTCCTTCCTTTCTTTCCTTCCTCCTGCAATCAGGCTCTCATACTTTACAAAGACATGACCTTGAGCATGGTACTTGAGCTCCAGGCCTTAGTTTATACTCCTGCAAGATTCTAATCTGCTCAGAAATGTCTTTGTCACACAATGATTATTATTGAGTGATTACAGGGTGACATTATCTCTCTCGGTGTTTATCTGGGGACAGCTGCCCACATACGATGTCAGAGCTCTGTTAGGGGCCTGGTTAAATAAAAATAACTTGCTTCAAAGCAAACCGCATTCACAGGCTGTCCATTAAACAGGCCTATAGACACAGGCCGCAGTCTGAAGTTCGAGAAAGGGCTCAATAAATTCTCACGCACGGGAGATGAATAGGCTCTAGACGATGAGCTCATCCCTGGCAACATCATTTCTGTCTGCCAAGGGATGTTACCCCAAGTGGACCCGGTGTCAAACAATGGGAACATCTTCCAGACCTGGTAAAGGGCATCCCTATCATCAGGTTTCTGATGGCCCCACGGCCACCTTCCGAATGAGTCCCACAGAACACGACGTACAGCAGACCCGAGTTCTGGGTCACACACCATTTCTATAAACCACTCCTCAAAAATTTATAGCAGCTTTGCCCTCATCCACCTCTTTGCTCAAGTCTCTATTTTATGAATAATTACAGCCTCTGGGATGAGATTGAACTCCTTAAATAAATTGTTCATGTGATTTTCGCGTTCCTTTTTTAACCATACAGAGCTGGGAAAGTCTTGTGTTCTTCATCAGAGACAAGACTTGGTCACTTCAGCTAACTCTTAGGGAGATAAGAAAAGCACCTTTTTCATGCAGTTGTTGTCAGGTTTCAGCCTGTGGGAAGTCCACTTGGCTCAGAACCTGGCCCATCTAAGAATCCTGCTGTGATGGGAAATCAAGACATGTTAGGTAAGTGACAAGCACTGAATGCTGGCAGTTAGGGGCCTGGAGTGTCAAATGGGCAGTTTCTGACTCTGAGGAAACCCTGCCCAGTCGTCTCAGGTACCTCTGTCTCCAGGCCATCAAGCGAGACTTTTGGGGGGCTTTATTGGGCTTCTTAGACCTCTGTGGCTTAAACCCATACACTTGTGACCGCTTCCCTCCACACACCCCACCCCCACTTGTTACTTAGGCCAGAGTGAAAACTTGAAGCATTTTAAAAGTTGATTTGACCCCAAGGTAGCATAAAAGGAATGAGGGGAAAAAATACACATGTGCCGTATTTTTTGGGTAGTTTTGGGTAAGGGAAGGGCGAGTTAGGGGCCACACCCTTTGATACTCAGAGCTTCCTCTTTGCTCTCTCTTCAGGGGTCCCTCCTAGAGAGGCTCAGGGAAATCCTATTCAATGCCGGAGACTGAAGGAGGATCAGCCACACACAAGACAAATTCCTGACTCCTGTGCTCTCTCCTGGGCTTTTGGTTAAAATCTTTCTAGGACATGAATTAAGCAAAGGTCAATTTGGAGTGAGGGTGTTATTTTTTGGCCATTACCAGTGGTGCTCAGGGTCTACCCCTCGCTCTACACTCAGGGATCATTCCTGGTATGGCTTGGGGGCCCTCTGGGGTGCCAGGGATTGAACCCTGGCTGGCCATGTGCAAGGCAAATGCCCTGCTTGCTGTGTTATCTCTCCAGACCCTACACTCAAATTTCCTGAGCAAACATCTGCAAAAGGAAGTGACTGAGGCAAACAGTTTCAAAACATGAGCTCTGAAGTTGGGTAGACCCAGACTGAACCTGAACTAAGCAGTTCTCAACCAGGCCTCCTTTCCTTCTCCATAAGCCCCAGGTGCTGGGTCTCCGGGAGGTCAGGTCGCTCCTTGTGCTTAGACTAGGGTGAACAATGCAGATTCTTTGTCGGTTTGTTTTGGATTTGGGTCACACTCTGCAATGCTCAGGCTTACTCCTGGCTCTGCACTCAGGAATCACTCCTGGTGGTGCTCGGGGGACTTCATGGGATCCCGCATGCAAGGCAAACTCCCTACCCACTGTATTCTCTCTCTCTTGCCCCTGTGCAGACAGGTCCTAAGGACAGAGTCAACACCGAGCAAACACACAACCGGATGTCTTTAGTACCCATAATGTTGTCAATTAATAATTACTACATATGATGATAAATAACTATGAGTCACGAGTGAAAGTGGGCAGGGGGCTGAGGAGGTAAGCACACGCCTTGCATGGATGAGGCCCAGGTCCACTCCCAGCTCTGCCCTGGCAGCCTGAATAGCCCCTCGGAGAACATACTTTTAAAACGAGGTTACTGTAATTGTGGTAAGCAGCTTCTCAAGGACTAGTTTCTTTTCAATTTCATCTTGCAAGAGTTCATGCCACCAATTCTCAAGCTTTAGACTCTCTTTGGTCTATTTTTAATGACTAAATTCCCCCTCAAAATCACAGTCACTTTTACACCAGCATATATTTGTTTTGTTTGGGGGTCTTATCCTGTGATGCCCAGGGTTTATTCCTGGGTCTGCACTCAGAAATTACTCCAGGCAGTGCTCAGGGAACCATATGGGATTCCAGGGATTGAATGCTGGTCAGCCTCATGCAAGACAAACACCTACTCACTGTACTATCATTCTGGCCCAACACCTGCTTATTTTCATACACAGATCCTCTCTATTCCAAATGGAGATTGTATTTTACGTGTTTGCTTGCAAGACGCTGGTTGGCAACATTAAACTGACATTGCCCAGAGCCAGAATTCTAAGCTATCTGTATATTTCTACATACAGAAAGTATATCAAGCACCCATCATAGTTGAATTAAAATGGAACACCAGGAACAGGGATGTGACTCAATGGTAACTCACTTGCCTTGTAGATGTGAGACCCTGGTTCAGTTCCCAGCACTGCATGGTCCCCTAAGCACCTCTAGGAGTGCCTCAGCTGGGAGTAACCCCCAAAACCACTGAAGGCCACTGAGTACAACCCAATAAAACCCTCCAGCCCTCCATGAGCTCATGAATCCTGTCCCTCAACTCCCAGGCCAGGTAACAACCCCCGGCTACCTGCTGGGCACCCTGCACTGACCGTTCCATTCACACCCAGCAGTGCCATCATCTTACACCTCCACTTCTCAGCTTGATCCAAAACCAGCGGTGAACCCAAGGATAGCTCTCCAGGCTACTACCCAGGGCACCGTAAAGAGGCACCAGAAGCTGAACCCCAAATCACAGTGATGGCAAAATGCAGTCACCATGCCTTTGTCTCCCAAGTCATGGAAGAAATTGTCTCAAGAACTGCTTGAGGGACTGAAGCAAGTGGGTAGGTCACTTGCCTTGCCTACAGCTGAAGGCTGACCCATGTTTGATCCCCAGCATCCCATCTAATGCCCCAAGCACTGACAGGAGTAATTTTTAAGGCATAGCCAGATTTACTAATCCTGAGCCCCATTGGATGTGGTGCAAAAACAAAAAACAAAAACAAAAAAAAGAACTGCTTGAGTGGCTAAAGAGATAGAACAGGAATAAGGTCTTGCCAATGGGTGCCATGCACTTGGCTGATTCAGGTTCAATCCCCCCTTCACCCCAGTCAGGAGTGAATCCTGAGCCCAGAGCCATGAGCTGGTCCTGAGCATTTCCAGGTGTGCCCTCCAAAGAAAGAATGATTTGAAGATTGGGTGATGCTCCCACACAGCCACTCCAAGAAGGCCACCAAGTCTCCAACTTCTTGCTAAGGTATGGAGCTGCATTTGCTGAAGAGCTCAACATTTCCCCCTGTACATGCATGTTTGGGTCCCAGGCTGAACTGGTCAAGTGCAGAGCATGTGGAAAAGCACTGACTGCTCAGTGTAAGGAGCTATTGCTAATTTTGTTAGAAGAGCATCATACTGTAGGCACATTGGGTTGGAGGCAGGGACAGGCTCATACCCAGTGGTTCTTAGAGGTTATCCCAAGCTCTATGTTCAGGGATCATTCCTGGTGGTGTTCAGGGGACCATGTGGTACCAGGGTTTGAACCAGGGTTTACTGCATGCAGAATGAGCTATATCTCCAACCCCTGTAATCCCATATTTTTTAAAAGTTATCAAGCAATAGATAAAATGAACCTGATATCTGGAATTGATTCTGTTATCCCAGGAGAAACAAAAGGAGGTTGACGAGTGGATAAAATAGGCCTAGGGAAATGCTAAGAACCATTGAAGCTTCATGACAGACAAGCCCAGGTGGATACATGAGCCCATCCTCCCTGTTGTATGCTTGAGGCTTCTCATGACAAATGTTTTAAAGGGTCAATCTTATTTCTACTGCATTTCAAGTTGTAGTTTGACTAAGTAAGTAAGTAAAGTAAAGGCCCTCCCGTTGATCATCG